CTTGCCTCTTGAAAGCCATCGAGCATCACTAAAAAAACAACAGAGCAGTGTTTGGCACCCATTTCCTCACACAGCATTTTAAAAAGTCTAGACTTCAGAGGATTTCAGAGGATGCGGCTGCCGAACTATCAACGCTGTCTCTGGCATACGCGTTTTATAATTGCCGGTAAAGGGAATAATTATTAGTTATTTTGAAATTCATGATAATTAAAGCCTGTACTAATCAAAAGTTTTTCTATATGTATTTCTATCTTTTGTTACTTTTCTAATTGATTTAGGGCAGTTTTAATTTTTATCTGTAGGAAAGTATGCTGCGCCCCCCTTTCAAGCCCTTCGCCCCCCCCCCCGGGGGTCGCGCCCCACAGTTTAAGAACCACTGTCCTAGGGAGATATTAACAGTGTTAAACTGTTACTCTGTAGTTTTTTCATAATCAAAGTTTATTAAGCTGACACATTTTGGAAACAGATTCACTTTCCATGTTCAGGTGATCATGGCCCATGGTTTGAGAGTAGCTTTGCCAAGGGGTTCAGTGGAATAGACTGTCTTTCATATCCTATTCACGAGAATATAGAAATAGAACCAATTTCTGAAACAGTGATTTTAATAAATTTGGATAATGGACAATGTGCAAAATAATATTTTTAAGCAGGAGATGCCCTCCAGTTTTGGAGGGAAGCTGCGAATATATTGAGTAAGCAGTCACGGACAGCCGACAAGGGGTGGCCCTCCAGCTTGGAGGTTGGGCGTGGGGCTAACAACTCCTCGCTGTAAAAAATTATTATGTTACGAAAATGAACACAAAGCCTTGGACCTGGACGGATTCCTTGGATAAACGACCTAAGCTAAAGAAAATGGATATGAGAGTTGGCTCTTGGAATGTTTGCAGTTTGTATAGGGCAAGTTCGCTCAGGGCAGTGGCAGAAGAAATCTTAAAATATAAGTTAGATTTAGCGGGATTACAGGAGGTCAGATGGAACGGAGGTGGCATCGCACCAGCAGGCGAATATACATTTTTCTGTGGAAAGGGGAATGAAAATCATGAATTAGGTACAGGTTTTTTTTGTACATAAGAGAATCGTATCAGCAGTTAAGAGGGTAGAGTTCGTTAGTGATAGGATATCATATATAATACTAAAAGGTCGCTGCTGTGATATCATTGTTATGAATGTTCACGCCCCAACAGAAGATAAAATTGATGACATAAAGGATAGATTCTATGAAGAACTAGAACATGTATTAGATAAATTCCCGAAGTACCCTAAGAAAATTTTGTTAGGAAATTTCAATGCCAAAGTATGGAGGGAAGACATTTTCAAACCACCAATTGGGAATGAGAGTTTGCATGAAATTAGTAATGATAATGGAGTTAGAGTAGTAAACTTTGCCATATTAAAAAATCTTACTGTCAAAAGTACAATGTTCCCACATCGTAACATCCATAAATTTACTTGGACATCTGATGGGAAGATACACAATCAAATAGACCATATTTTGATAGACAGGAGACGTCACTCAGGTATACTTGATGTCCGATCATTTAGGGCAGCAGATTGTGATACTGATCACTAACTGGTGGTGGCAAAGGTTAGGGGAAGACTGGCAGTGAGCAAACAAACTACACACAGAGTTCATATGGAGAGGTTCAATCTCAAGAAATTAAATGAGGTAGAGGGTTAAGAGCAGTATTGTGTTGAAATCTCAAATAGGTTCGCAGCTTTGGAAAACTTGGACACTGAGGTGGATGTTAATAAAGCTTGGGAAACTATTAGAGAAAATATCAAAATTTCTGCCAAGGAGAGTCTAGATTATTATGAGCTGAAGAAGCATAAGCCATGGTTTGATGAAGGATATTCAAAAATATTAGACCAAAGAAAACAAGCCAAATTACAATGGTTACAAGATCCAAGTGAAATAAATGAGGATAATCTGAAAAATATAAGACGTGAAGCCAGCAGGCATTTCAGGAATAAAAAGAGGGAATATCTGAAAGACAAAATTGATGAGCTTGCAATGAACAGTAAGAACAAGAACATTAGAGATCTCTAGAGAGGAATAAATGATTTTAAGAGGGGTTAGCAGCCTAGCAGTAACTTAGTGAAAGATGAGAATGGTGATGATCTTGCAGATTCCCACAACTTTTTGAATAGGTGGAGGAACTACTTCTCTCAGTTATTGAATGTACATAGGGTCAGTGATGTTAGGCAGACAGAAATGCACACAGCTGAGCTGTTAGTACCTGATCCCAGCCCTGTTGAGGTTGAAAGTGCTATTGCAAAATTGAAACGGTATAAATCTCCAGGTAGTGATAAAATTCCGGCATGAGGTGAAATATTACGTTCTGAGATCCATAAGCTAATTCTATTCAGCATAACGAAAATTGCCAGATCATTGGAAGGAGTCTGTTATTGTACCAGTTCACAAGTAGGGTGCTAAAACTGACTGTAGTAATTATCAGGAGATATCACTGCTATCAACTTCATATAAAATTTTGTCCATTATTCTTCTTTCAAGGTTAAGTCCATTCATTCATCAGTAATCTGTCAGAAGACAGGTCCACAGTCTCTTCCAAAACAGTTCCTCCACTTAATGCAATCTCAAGCTTTCTCCTTCAAATAAAAATATCCTCTTCTGTCCCCAAGGTTATCCAGCATCTTCTTACATCTTCTGATCACTTCTATACCCCCCTCTGGTTTCTTTTGTCTCCAGAGGAAACATCTCGTATACATGGTATCTCTGTTTTTGGAAAGAGAGTATCCAGGAAAAGTGATAATGTGGTAGTTTTTCCATTTGCTTTCCACATCGCAGTACAACAGCCGTTCAAACCACTCTGGTTACGCCTGTTGCTATACGAACTTGAACCATCTCGAGCATCATTTGCTCTGTGCTTCATGTCGCTGCTGCCGACATCAGTTTTTGGTTTTTGGTGTCTCTCTTCGTCTGATGCCTGCCCTTTGACCTGTCCAGCAAGGGAGGCCCTGCCAGTAGCTATGCTACCGCTGATATAGCCCTCAGGGTCCTTGGCATACTCAAACTCCCTCCCCACGATAAGGTGGAGACACCAACAAGGGGGTAAGTCCATATGTAGATGAAATTATTGGGGATCATCAGTGTGGGTTTCGACATAACAGATCAACTACAGATCAGATCTTTTGCATTCGTCAGATATTGGAGAAAAAAATGGGAGTTCGATGGGACAGTACATCAGCTATTCATAGACTTCAAGAAAGCCTATGATTCAGTTAGGAGTGAAGTATTGTACGACATTCTAATAGAGTTTGGGATACCCATGAAACTAGTTAGGTTGATTAAAACGTGTTTAAACAAAACGTATAGTAAAGTCCATGTAGGTAAACATTTGTCTGATAAATTTCCTATCCAGAATGATCTAAAACAAGGAGATGCTTTATTGCCACTCCTTTTCAACTTTGCCCTAAAATATGCAATTAGGAAGGTCAAGGGAAACCAGGTGGGACTGAAATTAAATGGGACACATCAGCTGTTAGTCTATGCCAATGATGTGAATCTGCTGGGTCATGATGTAGATACCATAAAGAAAAACACACAAACTTTAATTGACGCAAGTAAAGAGGTTGGTATAGAAGTAAACACAGAGAAAACTAAGTGTATGTTACTGTCTCGTCGCCAAAGTGCAGGGCAAAATTATGACATAAAGATAGGAAAGAGATGTTTTGAAAATGTGGCACAGTTCAGATATTTGGGAACAACGATAACAGATCGAAACCTGATTCAGGAGGAAATTAAGAGGAGATTGAACTCGTGTAATGCTTGCTACCATTCAGTCCAGAACCTTTTGTCTTCTCGTGTGCTGTCCAAAAACAAAAATTAGAATATACAAAACTATAATTTTGCCTCTGGTTCTGTATGGGTGTGAAACTTGGTCTCTGACATTAAGGGAGGAGCATGGACTGAGGGTGTTTGAGAACAGTGTGTTAAGGAAAATATTTGGACCGAAGAGGGATGAAGTGACAGGAAGTTGGAGAAAACTGCATAATGAGGAGCTTCATAACTTGTACTCTTCTCCAAGTATAATTAGAATGATGAAGTCAAGGAGGATGAGGTGGGCAGGTCATGTAGCACAAATGGGGGAGACGAGGAATGCGTATAGGATATTTGTTGGAAAGCTGGAAAGAAAGAGACCACAGGGACAACCAAGACATAAGTGGGTGAACAATATTAGAATGGATCTTAGAGAGAGAGGATGGGATGGTATGGATTGGATAGATCTGGCTCAGGATAGGGACCAGTGGAGGGCTCCTGTGAACACGGTAATGAACCTTTGGGTTCCGTAAAATACTGGGAAATTCTTGAGTAGCTGCAGAATTGGCACCCCCTCAAGAAGGGCTCAGCTCCATGAGTAAGTAAGTAGTAAGTAAGTGTGTCACACCACTGTAAAAAGGCTTTAAATAATAACAGTGTTTCAAACTTTGGTTTGCAGGTTTTAACAATCTGCAATCGCATTATGGACGTTGTTATTCCTGCAGAGAGAGCAAACAGAGACTTCCGTGTCAAGTTTCCAGATGACGTAATGCAGGAAAACTTGGCTGGGCAACTGTGGTTCGGTGCTGAAGTGAGTCCTTCAACCATTGCATTAAATGTAACATTGTCACAGTTTAAGCAAAACTTCATTAAAGTGGATAAGAGGACAACTTTCAAAAGAAACTTTTATATGTAGAAATTTTGATGCTTAAATAATTGACCAGGGTCCATACATACAGAGGCCTAGATGGGGAACCAGATATTCTTATCACATCCACAGTTCATGGACTAGACAGTATTTATTGTCTGTTCCAGATTTATTCAGAGTTTTTGTCCTGTGCATTTAATTTCCATGCCCTTTCAGGCATTTTGTCAATTTGTTTAAGATTACTTTCTTTTGAGATGTTATAACTTGTAGCCTTGTAGATTGTTACTGATGTTCCAAAGGAATCTGATGCCTCTATCTCTGAGGTTGAGATAGAAGCAGCAGGTTCCTCCTAAAGGCTTGTACTGAAGACGGTAATCTTTATAGTGACTGTCATGAAAACCTCAAATATCCCATCCATTTTTGCCCGAAACCAGTATTTCTTTTTTATTTAAGGGTAATTTTAGTAAATCCTTTATTATTTATTTGTTGATTCTTAATTCTTTTGAATTATTACATTCACAGCCACTAGCATATCCTAAATATTTAAAATGCACCATATGTTCTTTAATTTGATTATCAGTTACTGCCCTTTTTTGTTGTTTTCTCCCTTTTGGTCCCCCCCCCCCAGCAAGTTAATGACTTTACTGTTAGAGTGTAATATTGAAACAACTAAAGAATGTGGCCTAACCTTAACTTTTGTGGTTATGAAAATCTGACTGAAGTAGTGAATTACTACCAAATCCTAGTGAGTTAATAGCATTCTCATATTTCATTTTCTAGTGCTGTACTTATAATGCCATCAGCACTTGATTGCACTGTTGTATTTATACTAGAGAAAGATGTTCAGCATTTATAATTATCATTGTCACTCAGGTTGATTACATATGCTTGCCTCTGTGGTCTAGTGGTTAGAGTTCCTAGCTACAGATCCAGAGGTCCTGGGTTAGATTCCTGGCACCATCAGATTTTCTGAGAAGTAGTGGGTCTGGAATGGGGTCCACTCAGCCTCATGAGAATAATGGAGCTATTTCAAGGAAATAGCGGCTCTGGTCTAGAAAGCCGAGATTAATGGCTGTGGGGATTCATTGCGCTGACCACAAGACACCTTCTCTCCACTAAAGTTGGCACTAACTTCGCCGACAAGCGGCGGTCGCTCGGTCGGTATAGTTCGTTTGTGTATTAAAGCCACAGAGTTTAGTTTAGTTGAGTTTTATGCTTTAAAAACATAGTGGTGTACATGGAGAAGAAGGAAAACATATTTAAAGTTTTAGTGGGAAAACCTGAAGGAAAGAGACCCCTTAGGAGAAAAGTGTAGGTGGGAGGATAATATAATATAATAATAGATCTTAAAGAAATAGAATAGGAGTGTATGGTCTGGATGCAACTGGCTCAGGATCTGGACTGGTGGTAGCCTCATGGGAATATTGTAATGAACCTCTGGATTCCATAAAACACTAGGAATCTCTTGGCTGGTTGAACAGTTACTTGCTTATTGAGAAGGATTCTTTCTTATTGAGTTAGTTGACTAGTTGAAAAATGTCTTAGTTATCCAGAGTTGCCTTCATCTCTAAGATGAGATTATGAAGTTTGAATGGTGTTCAGGTATCATAATATTGTTTATTCTTGTTAATCGCATGATTCTGTTTCTAGTGTTTGGCTGCCGGTTCTAGCATCATGAACCGTGAGGGTGAAAGTTCAGCAATGCGACCACTGGCAAAGGCATTAACGAAGGCTCTGGAGAATGTCCGCAACCTACTTCGCGAGCAGTGTCTCCGTGGAAACACCAGCAACATTAATGGCATGAATGAAGCGTTTGGAGAAAGACTGCAGGAGGCACTGAAGATTTTTGATCGCCTCTTTGCAGAATTTGAACTGTGCTATGTGAGTGCAATGGTGCCTGTGAAGTCAACCAAGGAATATGAATTGCAGCAATTAGTTGTTGTCTTGTTCTCAGAGACACTCCAGAGGTACAGCAATTACAAATTATCTTTTCCAGTGGGTCTCTATATTTCATATTTTCCTTTGTATCATATGTGATCAACCTGTAGGTTGCACCCAGTTTTGTAATATTCTGTTGTAGAATGTGTTTCTCTTTGTTACCTTCTGTCATAATTTCTCTGGTTCATGAGTCACAGAAGTATGAAATACTGTCTGCTGTGATTGAATGTAGATCTTTAGTGTATTAATTATGTTGTGGCATGTAGGCCCATTTCTAGGAGAAGGTTGGCAAACACATTTCCACAGAAATATGATTCTTGGACACAAACCATCCCAGGGTGTTATACAGATGTGTCCATGGATACAGGAATGGAAGTTGTAGATTCTTAGAAACCAGATCATTGCTGTGAAATCAACAGACATGTCCATGGATACAAGCATGCAACAAACATCTCCAATGCTATATAAGTGGCCATCCAGATGAGAACCGGAGCAGTTGCAGTAGAAGGGAGAACCAAACACTAATTCAGTCGTAAACCTGAATGAAGTCAGTCACAGTAGAAGAAACACTCGAAGAGAAGACAGTCATAGTCCAGAATGGAGCAAATTTTAGGGAGTCATTTATTGTGAGCTGTTATAATTGATCATGATAAAGAGAGAGTGTAAAAGAAGGCATCAATACATCCAATCATCCCATCCAGACCCTGTTGTTGGTCACGACCATAAACATATGACAATATGTTTGTTGGTGTGTATGTTAAATTTTTGTTTATTCATAAATTCCTAATTGTTTATACACATTTTGTATTTATTATTGCATGAGCACATTTTATTTTGATACTTTTCACGGGCATCATCGTCAGATGAATTACTCATTACATTAGTGACTGCATGTAAGAAGGTTTGCAATGCATTTAGTCTACACCCTATTTCCATGTGTGTAATTTCACTTGCTGACTGATTGTGTTGATGTCAAGTTTGACTTGACACTGCATTTCATTGTGCTGGGCCAAATGTTGAAGCAACTTTCCAAATTCAGTTATAATGATATTTCAACTTGACATTGTCTCCTGGCATCTGTCTGTTCTCATACAAACTTTCTGAAATGTGTTCATGAGCACATCATGTTTGTCAATTGAAATCTTTCATACTCTCTCAACAGATATCATTTTGAATCAAACAAATCGTGAATCAGAACTTTTACCAGAAATTTTTACTACATTAATTTTGACTACTGAAACACATATAGACACACATAATGATATTAATTTTGAACCAGTAATGGTTAATTGTTAGAAGCATGTATGTGTCTGTGATGTGGATTATTTTTGGGTTTTGTATACTGATTTCATTCATGTAAGTTATAAATTACACTGTTTGTAGGGTTTGTTATTAAAATTAATTCATTCATTGTGTTTACACATTTGTTTACAGGGCTTTAAAAATGAAGCTTCTGACACAAGAGATGGTAGATGACTATGATCCAGCTCTTATGTTTACAATTCCACGTCTTGCCATCGTTAGTGGGCTTCTCATTTTCCCTGATGGTCCACTGTGCCTAGACAGAACCCCCGCTGATATGTCTGAAATGTTCCGCCCCTTCAGGGTCAGTATTAATTTTTTTAGGTACTCATGTAACTAATTTCTTATTTTGATGAAATAGCGAGACTGAGTCCACTTGGTACTGCAGCCTCTACTGGCCTATTATACCAACCCAGGATGATAGATGATGGTGATTATGGAGCAGTTCGTGGAATGAAGATTGGCAGGGGAAACTGAAGTACTCGGAGAAAACCTTCCCCAGCACCATTTTGTTCACCGCAAATCCCACCCGACCAGACCTGTGCTTGAATCTGAGTCACCATGGTGGGAAGCCAGCGACTATCTGCCTGAGCTATGGCGCAGCCTATTTTGATGAAATACAACATTTGGGTTTGCACTTGACTCAGAAAATTAAGGCAGCGGGTTCCTCCAAAGCATTGGTATCCATCTGCAAGACTGTATAATGTCACAACTCAGGATAACTTTGTTCATGAGAGTAATAATAAGTAATTTATCAGATGTAGCCATTAAATATGTCAATATTTAAAACTTTGGTATGTACTTGGTGACAGTTGTGTCTAGTGATTTAAGACATTTACTGTTGTGTTGTCCTCTGTGTTGTGGATACATAGTTCATTTGTATTTTTACTTCAATAAGTCCACAACTGTCAGTCTGACATAATAGTTATCTCACATTGTGAATTCCTCTGGAAGTAACCAATGAGAGGGATTTGCTAAGAATTGAAGGTGAGGCAGTCGGTTTATTTTCTTTCAAAGATGAACTCTGCCAAGTAAACGCAAGTGCAAGAACAAGCATCTAATGAAGGTATATATCAGTCATCAAGTTCTTTGGTAGTGCTCCACGAAGACTTGCAGAAAGAAGGTATATATTCTGTTAGCAGTCGGTTTGAAAATAGTTAGCTCTCACTTTATATACAAGTGGCCTTATGAATGAACTTGCACCAGGAACTGCAGCCATGATACAGATCAGCTATGCATTTACTAATATGGCTGTAAATTCTAAAATTACTTGGGCCACTCATCAGTACGTAAGTACCGAAACTTTTCTTGCATAATTTTTCAGATTTTTGTCCTTATGTTTCTTTTATTTTCAGACATTACTGCATAAGATACGTGAATTATTGTGGACCTTGAATAGCAAGGAACTGTTTACTCTGGAAAAACTTATGTGCTCGTCAGAAGAACCTGGTGACTTTCGCTCCTCTGGCCAATCAGTTGAAATCCATGAAGCTGCCGAATTGATTGGAACAACTCCTGGAGCTCCATCCTATCCCACGGTGTTTGATCTAGATGACTTTGTTACACGCTTTTACATTGATTATCCAAGCTGTAAGCAGTTTGTTACAGACTTTTATGCTAGTACATCTTCAAGAAACACAGAAACTCAGGATTTGTTTAACAGTGCAGTGAATGAAAATATTTCAGACATACCCAGAACTGAGGATGAAATGAATGTGGTTGACAGTGAAGTAGTTCCATCATGGGAGAGCACTGAAGAAAGTGAAGATGAAACAGAGTATATAGGTGAAACTTCAGAATGTGAAACTGTTGTAACTGGTATGTATAATGAGGCAGAAGAGAACATAAGTTCTGTTGAAAGTGACAGTAAAACTTCAGTTTCATTACCAGAAGATATCCCAACAGAGTGTAATCATATTGGCTTGAGAGAGAGTTTAGTGTTTGGAGAACATATAAGCACAGACCAGCAGTCAGCATCATTATCTTCCTCATCTTCTTTTGCTTCCCATCTTGACTTCCAGGCGCAAGCATTTGAATCACCAAGACTTACAGCCAATACAAGTGAGTCCGAGTATTCCGAGTCCTGCAGTCTCTTGCCGTATTCAGATACAATTAAAATTCCCACACCCAGTGCATCCGGGTTCCTTCTTGCCAACCAAGTGGGCCATGAGTCTATGCTTGCATCTATGGAAAGACTTACTAGTCCTAGAATGCCTGATTTATCTCCTGGTGCTGGAGAATCCCTTCCTGATGGTGATTCCCGTGAAGCCTTGTCAGTTGCCACAGCGACTCTGTCCACTTTACTACTCAGTACCCCTAATATCTCTCCTGTTTGTGATGTGTCACACAATGCTGAAGAAGATTCAAGTATCCAATCGCCTTTAGATTCTGGAGTTGGCACTGTTGTGAGTTGTAGTGATACTGGGAGTTTTTCTGACAGATCACCTGATGCAGCCTCGGCTCCTGCCTTGGTATCAAGTGGGATGAAACCAACTGATAATTCGTCTACATCTCATATTAGTACTCAGACTTGCTGTGATATTTCTGACAATCCTCAACAGCAATGGCAAGTCGAAACAATTCCGTGCAGCTGTACTCTGAGTGATAGACTTGCAACATCCGATAACTTCAGCAGGTGCCTAAATGAGTTGCATTATTGTGCTGATTCTTGTAGTAGGAATTGTGTGAAAACAGGTGGTGGGTCATGTCAAAATACTGAAGTGGACAGGTGTAATACGACTGTAGTTAGAACACATAATAATGGTATCTGTGATAATGCATTAGGTGACAGTGGTGAGAATGTTTTGACTTGTAATGATTGCCTGTTATCTGTAGAAGCAGAAGATCTTGACAGACAGACTCTAATGTCATCTGATGTTGAAACTTTTAAAGTTTTAAGTGATAGAGGTGAAGGATTGACAAATCTTACATCTTGTGGTGCAAACAAGAATGAAAGAGTTATGTGTGACAGAACCACCACTGCAGATTTTAGTCAGGATACCAGTAGCTTATGGAACGGTAGACAGACGAGTGTTCTTTTATCTCATAACGCAGATGACCTCAGTTACAGTGAAGTTAACGTAAGTCATGTGACATTGTATAATGCTGATGTACCTCAGGATTTCGAAGAAAATAATGTTGATGCTAATGGAGGTGAGATTTTTGAGAGGACATTCAGTCACTGTAATGATGTACCTGAAGCAGCCCTCCAGTTGAATGGGTCATATAAGGACACTGTTATGTCATGTGGGGACCATAAGCAAAACAAAAGTTTGCCTCGTATTGTGGTGAAGACGGAAGAAGACCAAGGGAAAAGTGAAGGGGGAAAGTGGTTTGGTGTGGAAAATGGGGATGGGCAGTGTAGTTTGTGCAGCAGCAACAATGCCGAGGGAGCTCAGAGTCAAATGTCAGATTTTCGTCTGAACTGTGCAGATAGCTGGAAGCATCTTATGGTGAAACAACAGAATGAAGTTCTGAGCTCAAGCTTAGGATGCTCGGCACAAATAACTAGTCATTTGGAACAAAAAATAGCTGAAAATGGGAGAGTCAGGGGAAGCAGAAAAGTTTTTCTTCACACCAATTCCTCAAGAAATGTAGCATCTTCCTTCTCCACTCCAAGTGACACAAATTATGAAGCAGGTGGTTCAACATTAGCAATAGTTCCTAGTCAGAATGGAAGGTGAGCATCTTGATTTTTGTTATATTAGTTTATCTAGTTCAGATATTGTTCAAATAATTTTATGTGCTACTCTGTGTTGTGCTACCTAGTACAGTGGAACTCCTGTGTAACGTTCTTCAGTATAAGCTTTTCTGTTACTCAGTGTTTAGTTTCAGTGATCCCAAGTCAGTATCTGAATGTTATTCGTCAGTTAAATGATCAAAGACACTGCTCCCCCCAACACACACACACACACACACACACACAAAACAGTAATTCAGGTTTCATTATATATTGTATTTTAATGTATATGCTTTGGAGACTCGATTAAAATCTACTAGTCACTTTTAAACTGACTTGTGTAGTTTCACAGCATACTTCATACAGATGTGTATATAGCAGATATGTGAAGATAAAGTTGGCTGTCTACTTAATTAAGCACCACACCATGAAGAGATATAGCTTTACCATTCTTCACCTCAGGACTGGATAGAAATTAGTGATCAGCTTCACACCTCAGCCAGAGCACTCCAAACAAGCCCCTGGTAACCATGGGATAGGAAGCTCCAGAGCTGGTGTGGAGGCTGTGAAATAGAGAAAAATTTCTTATCCCTGTTGAAATCAAACCCCAGCCTATAGCCACTGTATCAACTGAGCTATCTGGTCTGCGAATAAATGTGTGTTGACGAACACTGTTCTGCTGCATTAACAGCCATCTGTAATAAAAGTAATATTGTTTTTCTTTCCAGTGGGCTTGTTTTGATATACTAATAAATTAACTGCATCTTCTGTAAGTGTAGGCAGAAAAAAGAATTCATGTATGTCTTTGTTGCAACATGTGACTGAAATTAATAATTGCAAACAAGAACTGTTATTGTTTGTAGCTGTTCCAAACTTTACCCATCCTTTTGTATGTTTTTATAAAACATGAATGTTAGCATTTTATACCTCTTATAAAAAGTGAGTGTTCATTCCATTAGGAGTCTCGATGTGCCACTGGCAAGCAGCTTTTCTTCCACAAGTTCCAGTTGCCAGAGCTCAGTCACAGTAAGTTCTGACAGGTAAGGATACGTAATATCCAAATGTAAATCTTCCTGCCATTTCGATATGATCTTCAGTGAATTTAATCCAGTTCACATCTTCACACTCTGTTTCCTTAAAGATCCAATTTAATATGACCCCTAACTCAGTCTTCCAACTAACCATTTGCAGATGGATTTCCCTACCAAAACCATATCCAGATCAGTTGTGAATATTTTAACAGAAATCTAAACATCAGTTTATGTACTAGTTTTTTGACCCATTGTGGATTGTCATCACCATGACATGGTTGGCTGCTCTGATCAAACAGCTTTACTGTTACTCCAGGATCTTCTGAAATTCACACTAAGATTGCTCCAGCATGTTATATTGTCATCAACAGGTGCAGCCTTGTGTACTTCTAAGGTTTTGCCAAAGAATGCATGTTCTCTGTTGATGTACATCAAAGAAGATGTAAAAATGACTGTCATTTAAACGTGGCTGTAGGGGCAGGCATGCTACCATTTAAAAAGTCGTCAAGTGGTTAATGTAATTGATGCAGGTGTTGCCAGCTGTGCCGTATCTCAGGAAGTTAAATGTCACCTGATCACAGCTGCAGGTTCAGTCTTAGGTGACTTCCTGTGGGATTCATAGCAAAAGAAGTGGCATTGGAGCAGGTTAATAGCTCCATATTCATCAGTCACAGCCTCCTGAGATGTGGGGTAGCCCTGACCAGGCAGCACATTATCACATCCTCTATAAGGCTTCATTTCTGGTGTGACACTAGGCTGGTTACAGATGAAGGAAGCTGCCCCCCCTCCACCCCCATTTTTAGGATTCACATATACATAAAATCCATTTCAGCTATCTGGATCCTGTGAGATTTTTTCATGTGTCTTTCCCTTCTTTTACCTCTGCCAAAAGAAAACGTTTACGAACATGAGGAATACCGGGCCGCTTTGTGAATTTGTCCTTAACAGTAGGTCCTCTATGTTGGCTATAATTCTACCATCAGGTGGGATAATCTACCCCACAGGTGCACCCAGCACAGAAATTTACTATTAACTAGTGTATGCTACGTAAGGAGAATTAGATGGATTATAACTGGAAACATCACTAACAACAATGTAAGTCCATTGAGGTTAGTCCCCAGATTTTTAATTTACCTCTGCAGAGGTTTCTAGTTTAATGGTGACAGCTTGCACTTATCTCAGAGTAATTTACATTTTGGCATCTTGTTCCAGTTGCAGTATGAGCAGTGATACATCATCTTTCAATTCAGAATGCCAGGATGATGAGGAAATTGCATTGGCAATGCAGGCAGCTGAGATTGCTAATCGAAATGAAGCCCGTGCAAAATTCAGGTGTGTGTGTATGTACCTGGAATGTTCTCAGCAAGGAGAATGTTACGAATTGATAAAATATAGGTTTTTTTTGTATTACAGTGCCGCCTCTTTTTTATGTGTTCTACAAACCCTAAAAAAACCACATTGCACACTTTTTTGTAAACAATTGACTTTCACTACATTACGTTGGAAACAATTTATTTTTGTTCAGTAGACCGTTGTTGGTTACTTAATACAGGAAAACAATGAAATCCATTTGACCAATGCAGCCATATTTAACAAAATGAACACTTCACATTTGGGACTCTTAAGTGCACCTACCGTTATTTTCCTGAAGATGCTTTCTGTGCATTTTTTTTTTGGAGGCAGGAGATATGGTGTGCATAAATTATTGAAGTTTTTGAGAAAATCACAGTTTCGTTTTTTTGGCAGCTACTTGAAGAAGGCCCCTCATTTTTGGAGATGGAATGTTCATATTTCCTGGGCACCAACACCTTTCAGTTATGAATATGAATAAACTCTGTCCTTTGAAGCACAAATGGGGCATATGTTCATACAGGCAGACAACATTCCGAAACCAACTTTCTTATATTCAGGGAAGCTTGAAATGTATAAATCCTTCAAAATTTCTAGATGATATGCGAAAGTAAAAATGTTGCATATGTTCTCAAAATTTCCTGCTGTGATAATGAAATCAATGATAAAGGAATTAAAAATGAAGGGATCCAGGCTACCTTGGTCAGTATAATGGCTGGACTGGATGACAGGAGAAATGAGGTTTGATTCGTAGTGGGATAGAGGCTTTTCTCTCTGCTACTGCATCCAGACAGGCCCAAGACCCACCCAGTTTGTACCGGTGGCTCTTTCCATGGAGATTAAAGCAGCTGGGTCATGGGGCTGGTCACTCACTTACATCTAGTGCCGAAGGTTAGGAAAAGAATGGAACTATATCTCATCTCGCCCATAAGTCTACAAGGCATCATGTTTAATTAAGCACAGGAACAATTTTGACTTTACTTAAAACTAAAGAATTTTTATGTATATGTGTATGGTGTTTTGACTGGGTGCTGATAAAACATGAACTAATTTATATATAAATTAGGCCTATGTTAGTATAAAATATGATATAGTGATATTTCATTATAAATGTCTTCAAAATTGACACGTAGGATTAGAAGCTGTATCGTGATGGATAAGTGTTTTTATGTTGATCCCTTTTCTCCATATTCCTAATCCCTTCACTGAGAGTCTCAGATCCCACATCCATACTGAGATTTCATATTGTGACATGTTGCGCAACCGAGGACCCCTACCTCCCCAGCGGCACGTGGCGGTAACGTAGCGCTCGCGTAATAGGCGAGTCATCACCCCGCCACTCTCCCCGCGGTGACGTCATGAGCGGAGCCGAATTGAGCCAAGTGGAGCCGAAGTTAGCCGAGTCCCCGCAACCTGGTAGCTATGCAATGTGAGTCAACAGCGGTGACATCACCAAGTGGTAACAGCGTTGCTAGGCTATACGCCACGTCACAGTAGTAACGTGGCGGGCGACCCTAGCAACAGCGAACGGAATAAAAGCTGGCTGAGCAGCAAGCGAGAGTCGGTGTGTTATCAACGAGTTCTCAGTTCGCAAGTTACGAGCTACAGACATGTGTGCGAGAATCAGTGATAGTTTGTGATAACCAATTATATTTGGAGTGTGTAATTCAGCGAGACTTGTATAGCTCCCGCGCTATTAATACGTGAAGACTCTGGAAGATAGTGTTAAGAGATTTTGTTGTAGGGTTTGTAAACTGTGGAAACCCGTAACATTGTGATAATTAATTGTAGCCGATATTTGTAGATTGTTCAATAAACCAATTAACGATCTCTACGGCGTATTCAGTAACGAAACATGTTACAATATTTATTTTCCTCGGCCCTTCCAGAGGAATGCCAGGGTAGAATGTTGTAATGGGACCTGTCCACTCCCTTTTATTGAATGTTATCAACCTTTCATACCATTTGACACTGGATAACCACTGCACTTGTTATGGCAGTGTTAAATAACCTACAATCCATTAGGTTCTGTACATATTGTAACGTGTTTCGAGATCGAATATGCCGTAGAGATCGTTAATTGGTTTATTGAACAATCTACAAGTAACGGCTACAATTACTTATCACACAGTTGCGGGGTTTCACACTTTATAACCCTAATTGCATTACTCTGTTACCACTGTTGCGGGGTTTCACACTTTATAACCCTATGCGCAAATCAGCTCACTCTGTCTTCAGTAGTCTACACGTTTACAGTAGGGGAGCCACGTATCACTGTATCACACACTCCCAATTGCACAATTACACACACGTCTGGTTCTTCTTTCCGCGACGGCTGCTATACTCAACTGTAGTCGGCTGACTGGAGAACTGTTGATAACACACTCGGCGACTGTCACATTACAACTGACTAGGCGACTGTTACTTTACAACTCAACTCGGCGACTGTCCACATTACAACTCGGAACTGTCTTCGGCGATGGCCACGTTCCAACTGACTCGCAGCTGCTGTGCAGCTCACTTATATAGCCGTAGTGCTTGCCTGTTGCGTAATGAGTGCCACGTCATCCTGTTACGTCACCGCTGTCGACTCGTGTTGCATAGCTACCAGGTTGCGGGGGCTTGGCTACCTTCGGCTCCGCTCGTGACGTCACCACGGGGAGAGTGGCGGGGTGATGACTCGCCTATTACGCGAGCGCTACATTACCGCTACGTGCCGCTGGGGAGGTAGGGTACTGCAGTTCACACTATGTTAACTTCTTTTCTACAGGTCGAGTGAGGATTTGGTTCATCGCTTATTTGTGTGCATTGCGGGTGTGGCCGACCAGTTGCAGACAAACTTTGCAGGCGATCTTCGACACATTCTGAAGTGCGTGTTTCTCATGAGTGCATCAAGCAGCATTAGCACAGAAGAGCAAGATTTGGAGGAAAGTGCAGTGACTACTGTATCAGTTGAGCCAGAATCATCGTCCCCATCAGGAGATAATGGTAAATTGATGCTCCAAACCATCATGATATATGCTGGCAAAGGAGTAGTGACTGGTGCTCTGACGTGAGAATACTAAATCTTTGTTTTACAAAGGGAATGCTTTCTGTGGAACTACAAGGTGTGGCAATAAAGAAACCGGATTCATGCTCTAACCCTTTATTAAAAAAAAATCAGACAGTCGAAATGTTATCCCCTTCAATGTAGTCCCCTCCCCGATCCCTACACCGCTCCATGCGAATTTTCCACTGTTGGAAGCAGTGCTGCAGGTCATCTTGTGTTATGCTCTTCAAGAGTTGCGTCGCTTTTGCTTTCACTGCATCCACGGACTCGAACCTGGTCCCTTTCAGCGCAGACTTGA